TTTAATTCTAATATCAATCTTAAACCTTGATAATCTTAAATCTTGAGAGAAACCAAAAGATAATTTGGGCTAAAGTCATCATTTTACAGGTGAGGATGCTGAGAGAAGTTCAGTCACATGCCCAAAGTCGCACAAGAAGTCACAGTGGCAGGATGGTACCAGCATTTCAGATATCTGCTTCCATTCCACTGCTCTTTGAGCACACACTGAGTGACTGTTGATGGGAAAGCCAGAGCATTATCAGCCATTACCACCAGTCAGAGGAGAGGAATCCTCCCTCCCCAGTGGGAGCGCAGTTCTCAACAGGGCTGCCTTCACCTGGATCTGTAAACTGGCCTATGAATTTATGCCTCTTTCCCAGGCGTCATATTTCAGATCATCCCTCTGCAGGCTATGGAGAATTAAAGACACTTGAGAGTGCTCAAAGCAAGCATTTTCTTCCTGATTCATCTCAGCAATGATACAGATCATTTCATGAAGATTCCTGCCCTCTTGAGGTACTGTGTCATGGCCGTAGCACCTACTCTAATGCCACAATGGGCGAGCATGGAAACACACATGAAATTGTAAACATTTGTGCTTATGCTAAGAATTACCAATTTTCACACAGACACTTCAAAGTGGAGAATAATATTTGGGGGTTAAACAGAATATATGGATGCAAAAACAGTACTTTAAGATGAAAAGTTTGATCTCATAACCACTTTTGAGAAGTGGTCATGTTGTATAGTTACAACTATCCTCCATTCTAACCTCCAAACAAGAAGCTTTCATAAATGCTTCTGTGAGACGCTCTAAAAAGTTTAAGCTAATGGTAGAAAAACAAAAAGCCAAATTTTTCATAAGTATAGCAGCAGTCTACAGCGGAAAGACTATGCACTCTGGGAGTCAGAGAGAAACATTTTTGGATTCCAGCTCTGCCCCACAGCTATATTTGTGTGACCGTGGGAAAAACATTGTCTTCTGCTTCCTCATCTGAAAAACTAGGAAGATAATCAGTGCAAGAGTGAAAGAACAGCTTTCCTTTTTGAATGTGGAAGCTATGAACTAAATTGTGTCCTCCTCAAAATGCATATGTTGAAGTCCTAATACCCACAGTGACTGTACCTGGAGATAGGGGCCCTTATGGAAGTAACTAAGGTTACATGAAATCAGCAGGGTAGGGCCCTGGTCCTATAGAATTAGTGCTCTTATAAGAAAAAACATGAGCGAGCTCGCTTTTTCTTAGCCATGTGAGGAAACAGCAAGAAGGCAGCCAGGAAGAGTGCTCTCACCAGAAACCAAATCTGCTGGACCTTGATCTAAGACTTCTAGCTTCCAGAACTGTGAGAAAATAAAATTCTGTTGTTTAATCCACCCAGTCTGTGGTATTTTGGATTGGCAGCCCAAGCTGACTAAGACAGTGGAATTAGCACCATCCCTGTGTTTCCTGAGATAAAGAACTGTCAGGATCTTAAATACAGTACTCATTGCTGTGACTTTTCACTAACAAGAGGACCCCAGATTGAAAGCTGTTTGCCTTGTTCTTTAGAATATTCACAGAGTCGGGAAAAGGAAGGCCAATATTGGGAAAATAACCATACGCAAACTTTAGATACAGCAACTTTATAGACATGTGCAAATGTGTATGTAGTTGTGTATGTATGTATGTAATATACATTGATGAATACTCCTGGTGGTTAAAAACAAGGGTTTGGGGAACATGGTTGCCTGTCTGAATTATGGCCTTGCTACTTCCTAGCTGTGTGTCTATAGGAAAACTACTTAAACTCTCTGAGCTTCAAGATCTTTATCACTAAAATGGAGACAATAACAGTATCTCTCTCACACTATTGTTACGAGGATTAAATGAGTCAATACACGTTAAGCTTTTAGAACACCGACTGGTGGTAAGAGCTTCACAAGTGTTCATTTTACCATTACACACACCCACACAGACTCAGACAAACTGACAGAGTTTTTACAAAAATATGGAAAATAAAAAAAGGACAAAAATCTAAAGCAGAGCATTTCTATACTCTTTGCACCCACTTCACATAGCCCATACAATTTCCCTACTCTACCAGACCCTCCAAAAAATTAAACTCTGTGGTTAATCTCTAAAATCTCATAATTACTTTCACATTATGGCCACTTGTACCTGGAAAAGACTAGAGAAATAATTAGGACATGGAACAAGAGATTCCATAAGAACAAGGCTGCAAAAAAAGGGAATTATATAGTAGGTTGAGATTAGAGGGTTAAGAAAATGCTAGGTGTAATCAATTTACAACTACATAAAAATAAAAAGAGTTCTATGTAAATTGTCTATCATTTTCATACTACTGGTACTATTATTCAGAAGAAAATAATTTCCCCAAATCACAACTGATTCAAGCATAAATGACTTTTTGTTTTCACATTTATGTTCTTCAGGGCAGATATTAGATTCCAAGAAAAAGTAATTGTGACAAGAGTCTACAGAGACACTTTTTTAAAACAATCAAAATTTTTCCTGTTTTCTCTCATCAAAGTCAAACCCAACCTCCTGTTTTGCCATTTAGGATTCACCTTTGCAAGGTTAACTCTGATTGAAGGTGCCAAATTTTCTCTCAGAGGAAATTTTTTTCTCAATAGAAATTCAACTCCCATAATAAATGTAACAGTGGGATCATTTCACCATGGGAAGGGGACAAATTCATCTAACAGTGGGCAAGATAAAGCATATTCAACTGATTTGCTGTGTGCTGGGAGTGGTAACATTCAAAACAGCCTGTTCCTATTATTTTCATCAATTTTAGAGGAATCTTTAATCTGGGTTATTTTTCACACACTTGGTCATCAACTCAGAAGACTGATTTTGTTTTCAGAAGACTGATTTTGTTTACAGAGAGCTTTTGATGGCCAGTAAATTTTATATGCTTTCTTTGTAAGAATTTAAAGATTTTATTTATAACCACTAAATTATATGTCATCAGTCCCTCTCAATTTTACAAGTGATTTGAGTGTGATGTAAAATTTAGAAACTATCAATTTGACCAACTGTGTACCAGCTGTGATTGAATAAGGCACCAAGCAGTATAATATGTGACAGACTCTTTCCAAGTAATATTAAGTGAAGAAAAAGAACAATTCCCCAAATATTTAACAGACTCAGCCACTGCCAGTAATTCTTGGGAATTCCTTTTGTTCCTGATAATTGATCTGATTTCACTGTTGATGTGAAAATCTCAGTAAAACCCATGGAGAGTGTGTGATTAGAGAGACTAGAGAATAATTTATTCTTTTTTCTCTTATAAAAGCACCAATTTACAAAATATACTTTTTGGTAGCTTAAAATAATAATAAACAAAATAGTTAACTGACAAAATAACAGCAAAAAGCAATTAAAAGGAATCTGGAGACAACTGGAAATCTATTTATTGAGAAGCTTGGGCATGTCAGCACCCAAGTGGCTAATAATGTAACATTTTATCTGGCTCGTTACTTTTAACACGTTTTGTGTGTTTTCTCTATTTCCATATACTTTTTTCCCAAATATAATTTCAAAAATTAGGAGTTATCTGCCTGTGGAAGTTCCAAATTCATTTAAGTTAAGAGAGCAATGAGGGTTTGTTTTAATTATTTTATACCTGAAATAATAAGACCACTTCAGCTAATTAACTATTCCAGCTTGGATTTGGCCAGCACTAATGTTTAATTTACCTAAGTAAATATTTGCTAACTGACAATTACTCATCATTAATGGTTTTACAAATATTACTATTTAGTAGATATTGATCTTATGAAAATATTTTAAGGGGAAGCCAGCCGGAGCAGCTAGGCAATTAATGGGAATGTTAACCCTGGGGAGACATTTCCATGCACTGCATCATTTCTATTGCTCTGTACGTGAAGCCCTAGCCATGTTGTCTTAAGCAGAGGCATGGTATAAGGACCCAGAGATAAACCTGAACACAGGGTAATTAAACAAAGTACTACTCAGGTAGGCAACCTTCTGTTGTTAGTGAGCCTTAACATCCAGATGGTTAATATTTGTCAAAAGGTAAAAAGTATTCTTGTTGAAAACAATGGTTTCCCCCAATCTATAACATAGCGCCTTATGAGATCTGATGCTTGCAAGTAGGTTCTGCTGACAGTAGATGTCCAAAGCCAGAGACAAATTACACAGGCAATAGACTCTGAACCAATGAATACTGACAACACTGAGCATTTCCAAACTCCCCCATCTTTAGATATCATCCTGAAAAAATAAAACTCATAAACTATTCTTTTTCTCCTCTAGCATTCTACTAACTATCCTTAGTGTAAAATAATGGAATCCTAATTTATCAGACTACAAATCATGGTAACAACAAATTCTTATCTACCTGTGAATTGATGGATAATTCTTATTTATCTCCATATCCCTTTGTCTAAACCCATCCCTGTTTCTCTACACAAATCATCTTTTAGCAAATGAGTGGAAAGAGGATAAAATACTCCACATTAAATCAGCATCTGATTCACAGAATGAAAGTTTCTGACTTCAAGATGAGCAAGAGTAATGCCTTAAAAAGGTTGACCTAACTTTTTTTTTATTTATTAAAAGAAGCTTATCGTAGAGGGAAAGCACATATAATTTATGATTTTTCTCTGTAGAGCTACAGAACTTTAATCCATAGCTCATGAAAGGTTGTAAGAGTAGCCTGAAAATCATGCTGAGCTTAATTATACTTAATGTGAATTATTCAGAAGTGCAGAGAGAGACTAAAAATTTATTTCATACAAAGAAGCTTGACATTTTAATTGGTCCTTCAGAATAGAGACAAAACAATTTCCTCTCAAGAAAATTTACATCTTCCCTATCAGAGCAGGAGCCTCAGCCAAGCAGAACTTCATTAATAAGATTAATTATCACACCAGTGTCTGCTTCATGAGGTGTACGGCCCAGGTGAAAAGAGGAATACAAAATAATGACTGACATTTCTAACAGGATTGATTCAAGGAGGGAAAAAAAATGGCAGATTGAGCCACCATACCTTGGTCATTAGCCATTTTGTCAGGGTGTTCCACTAGGGGGAGAAAAGAAATAATATTATTAGACTTTGACAGTTTCCATCAAGAAAGCTGACATTTCAAATCAACAGTTTCATTAGCAAGTTCTCATATCAAGGCCAATGCCCTATTGAAATAAAATTGATAAGCAATCAAGGTTAATGTGATTATTTCTGTTAAATAACTAGTCAGAGGGAAAACAATGGAAAATAATGTTTTCACTGTATCAACGTGTTCTAAAAATATACATTTGTCACATTCCTCTAGACATAAACTCAGAATGATAATCATGCAAATTTAATTAAAAATACAATTAACAGTAAAAAACGCATGTTATCACCCATATATTTTAAAGAAGTTAAGGAAGCTATTTTCTTGTATTGATTTCTTTTTCAACAAAAGAACTTAACCAATTCTCACATGGATAGGGTAAAATAATAAAATATCATAAATATGGTTTAATCTAAATGGTTTGATAAATTTTTAGACCTTGTAAAGAGAAGTCTTGAGTTGTTCTCAACTTCAGATGAGTTATGAATAATATTCTTGAAAATGACATTTAAATTTAGAAATATCTCTAATTTTTTTTCGGCTTCTTTTCTCTTAACCAAGTATAACTATATGTGAGGTAAATCTCTAGTATCGTTGCTTTTCTAGAAATTGTGATATGACATTTTGACCAATGTAGATCTTTGTAAATCTTTATCAATCAGAATTATTTCACATATACTTGAATTTCTTTGAGCTGTGAATCTTCTGGGCTTATTTAACTCAATTGTAGTCAAACTTGACACATAGGCAACTACATTTGCTAGTTTGCTTCTTGTATATGTCTCAGTTAAACTCACTCAGAGAAAAATATAATAGTATCCCCTGGGTATCAACGTGTAACCTAGTCACTTCTCTCATTATGCATGGCAGTCTCACAGCAAATCCATTATCATTGTTTGAAAAATAAATTAAAGCAAATATCTTAGAAGTGGTGGTCCTTCCTTTTCTCAATGAAGAAACACAAATCAACGTCCAAGAGAATGTATAGAACTGAAATACTTAAATAATGATGCTGTTAACAAAAGCCCCTTCAGATGAACAAGGATTATTAATGTCACATCATAGAAGGACAGATTTCTAAACCAGAGATCATTTACAATTTCTTTCATTTTATAATTGTATTTATTTATTTTTTTTCCCCCAAAGCTCCAGTAGATAGTTGTATGTTATAGTTGCACATCCTTCTAGTTGCTGTATGTGGGACGCGGCCTCAGCATGGCCAGAGAAGCAGTACGTCTGTGCGCGCCCGGGATCCAAACCCGGGCCGCCAACAGTGCAGTGCATGCACTTAACCGCTAAGCCGCGGGGCCGGCCCTCTTTCATTTTAAAATAACATGTAACATATTCTATGGAAAGGATAAACTAGGAAAAGTATCTTAATAAATAGTTAACTTTGAATTCTGAATCATTTTTTAAAAAATGGTATACACAAGAGTGCTTATTATATTAAGATTCCTCAAGCTTTAAATTTTATAAATGTCTTGGTATCTCCTCAAGATTTAACAAACATTTTTCAATTCACCAGGTCATTTAATCTAATCTTTTCTAATCGAATCACCGTAATTTAATTTTTATCTTGAGTTCCCCTCTCATTTTCATTAAAGAGTAATGACTTCTCAAAATACATTTTATTATAGTATTAGGAGGTTGTTGATGAAAAGGGCTTTTAATAGGCAATTGCATTATCTGTAGTTTATAGACAGGCATAGGATTCTAATGTAGCTTTTAAGGAAGGACATTATGTTGCAGGTAGTGCCACACCAGGTCTCCAGTAAGAATAAGGAAGAATACGTCAGGATCATATGTGACCACACAATCCAGGAAGGGTAAAAGTTTGGAAGCTAGAACAGGACATACTTGAGAAAACACCTCAATCAGCATTTCATATTTAGGGAAGAACTGTTTGGAATGATAGCAAAAAAAGAAAAGAAAACCAACCCCATCTCATTTCCATTCTTCATCTCTCTCTTTGTATTTAATTATATATATGCATTATCTGCCGTCTAAGAAATTTTTCAAACAAGTGACAACCATATCTAATGGTGGACAATCTCATCCTCATTGTTTTCTGGATTTATTTTACTGTTAGCAAATCTGGACTGACTATAACGTAAGAAATTTTGAATGTCTCAAGAAAGATTATCTACTAAAGAGTATTTCCCAACAGGGGCCAAATATATTCCAATAGTTATTTTTCATTAAAGACAAATAATGGCTTAAAAGTATTGCAATTTGTGCCTTGACTTGATAATTGCTCCTGCTTTTTGTCAAGAAAATCATGTATTTTGTCATAAAATAATTTGAAGACAAACTGCTTCGTATTCTGGCACAGAGCCTTCAGTTCTATATCCTTGGATAAGAGAGATGCATATTTCAGAATGATGATCAATGATGCCCAGAGCATAGACTGTACTCTACTGCTCTGTCACTGCTGAAGACTCTGCTTCTTTGTGTGTAGGAGGTGACTCCATTCTTCCACAGAAAACCTCTTTGGTCTGCTCCGTCGGGAGCATCCTTCCTCCCTATTACTTGACGGGCCAACATGGATAAGCTTACTTTACTGAACAACCCATGTGATGGGCAGATATAAACATGGCTCTTATACATCTTCCAAGGGCTCCTCAGTGTGTGGGTATCATAATAGGGAGGATTTGGGTATTTGCAGAGTCCTATATGGTCAGAGAATCAAGTTCAGGACTCTTTTAATTAACATTCCAAAGAAATAATCAGATACATTACATATATGCATGTACACAGGGTATAGTAATTTAATCCTTTTTAAATTATAAATGTCCTTTTAATTAACCAGTGTTATTGATTGAGTTTCCTGTACCTTTCTGGCTGGTGGCTAAAACCATAATGATAAAAACTCTAGTCTCCAGTAGAAAATGCTTCTATCTTTGCAAAGACTCAATATGAAAGAATAAAGCTTGTGGACACCTGCCTGGGGCATGATTTGCAATGAAACACTTGCACATTACCCAGTAGACTGCTGTGAGTTTCCTCAGCTTTAGGACAACATGTAAGCCTTTCCCTCTGTCAAACAAAGTTACACTCTGATGAACAGAGGCCTTATGTTTTGAAGCAGCTTTGGAAACTGAAAATATTAAACCAGAGAGCAATAGAATCATTTAATGTCTTTAGTGTAGATTTGGTTCATTGTGGCTTCAAATCTCTTACGATGAGTAATTTACTTACCTTTAAACATTTGTCATCGTAAGTGACATGTAAGATGTGCCCATGTACAATATTAGTTATTGATAAAGATCAGAAATATCAATATTTCTGAATAATTTAAAAAGTACTCAGGATATCTGAAACTTATTTTACCATATAAGCAAGATTTTTTTTAAAAGCCTATTTGATTGTTAATCAAGCGTGACATACTTGGGGTAGATAATATTAAACATTCAAACCAGGATATTAGAAATAACTCTTGTGGACTATTATGACATATAACAAATTGCTGAATTTGTTCTTAGTTCTAAACATTATTTCATAGATGAGTTTAGGGCACTTAGGGTAAACGGTACCAAATGAGTAATGGAGTTCATTAAACAATCTGCAGGTCGATTACCAATGTGGGCTTGTAAATCCTATGATAACTCATCACTCTGCTGCTTCATGCATTTAGATGCCTGAAGTCATCTTAAACCCTCCCTGAGATCTCTAGTTGGTATGTGTCGTGAGCATGAAATTAATTTGGCACTTGTCTATAGATAAAGATGAAGTATTGTAAAACATCATCTAGTTACATTTCATGTTTCCACAAAATGAACCAGTTTCCTTTCGATTGCTCCTAAAAACCTGGGGAGACAAAGATTAGCTTATTTCCTCCTGCCTTCCTCCCAACTTCTACTATGCGTTGAGAACTGTCATGCCTGCATAGGCTGAATGCTTGTTTGTGTGTTCTTGGAAAACTTGCAGATTAGCTGTTACCAAATCCAGCTTTTGAATAGCTCACTCACCAGAATTCAAAAGTTCACTATTTATTAGGGTACCTTTCCTAGGAGAATTGAGAAATAGACTGTACAGTTATTCTAAGATCCTTCTGTGTGAAAACGTCAATTGGACACGTGTTTCTAATTTTTTTTTCTAGTTTTTTGCCATCATGTATTATCAAGTTTTCAGCCAGATATATAGGCATAGGCACAGATCTAAGAGTTAAGTACCCTTCTTTAGAACCATACACATCATGCCTTAAATATACATCTTTAAATATCAGCTATGGAACATTCGAATTATTCTCAACTGTTAAATAATAGAGGCTCTTGAAACCATCAGAAAAATAATACTGCATTCTAAAATAGAAAGGATTATGTGAAGATTATTTTGATGTAGTCTTGGGCCTTAGTATTCTTCTGTGTGAACATATAACAATCTTTAAATTGAGTAGCAATTTTTATTTTTGTAAGCATGTGGAGTTTTCATCTAGTAATCATACTGCAAGATTTTTTTCATTGTTGCTACCCTGGGTCCTTAAAATAAACGCACTCATTTTGTTTGAGATTTTCTTTCTTGCCATATCAAAATTTCCTTTAATATAAAGCAATAGTTCTGGAAAGAAAATATTTACAGTTGGCAATAGTATGTCATTCACATAATTCAATGCTTTTTAATTTTTATTCCCCTACATAAAGTGGTTAAAAGATTTCATTATATTTTGAATAGAATCAATATACATGAAATCAATACAAAATTCCAAAAGGATTATAAATGAAAAAAAGTCAAGTTAAATATGTCTGCCTTTTGCTGATGGCAGAAAATGTGATAACACAATAGATCTTTCTTTGACATTCTGGCTTTCAGCATAAAAAGGTATATTTCAATTAATGAAATAATTTTTTTTAATTTCTTCCAGGTTTTTTGAGAAGTAATTGACATACATCACTTTTTAAGTTTAAGGTGTACAGCATGATGGTTTGATTTACATATATTGTGAAATGATTACCACCATAGGTTTAGTTAACATTCATCATCTTATATAGACACATTAAAAAGAAAAGAAAAAAAGTTCTCCTTTTAATGAGAACTCTTAGGATCTACTGTGTTAACAACTTTTCTACATATCATACAGCAGGATACAACTATAGTCATCATGTGGTATATTGTATCCCTAGAACTTATTTATCTCATAACTGGAAGTTTGTACTTTTTGACCACCTTCCTCCAACTCCCCCCTCTTCACTTGCCATCTCTGGTAACCACAAATCTGATCTCTTCTTCTATGAGTTCAGTGTGTGTGTGTGTGTGTGTGTGTGGTTTTTTTTTTTTTAGATTCTACATATAAGTGAGATCATACAGCACTTGCCTTTCTCTGTCTGACTTATTTTACTTAGCATAATGCCTTCAAGATCCATCTGTATCGTCAAAAATGGTAGGATTTTCTTGATTTTTATGGCTGAATAATATTCCATTGTATATGCATACACTACAACTTCTTTATCCATTCATCCATTGATGGACACTTAGGTTGTTTCCATGTCTTGGTTATTGTAAATAATGCTGCTATGAAAATGGGGTTGCAGATGTCTCATTGAGTTAGTGTTCTCATTTCCTTTGGATATATTCCCAGAAATGGAATTGCTGGATCATATGGTAGTTCTATGTTTAATTTTTTGAGGAACCTCCATATTGTTTTCCATAGTGGCTGCACCAATTTACAATCCCACCAACAGTGCACAAGGGTTTCCTTTTCTCTACATCCACATCAGCATTTGTTATCGCTTGTCTTTTTGATGATAGCCATTCTAACAGTCATGAGGTGATATTTCAATGTGGTTTTAATTTACATTTTAATGTATTTTGAATGTCCACTGTAGTCATATTGCCAACAGAGATGATGTAGGGCAATTTTTAATACAGACTCTAAAACTATTCTATAATAATCCCGTAGGAAAAGAAAGGCAATAATAGGAAATGATTCAAACCTTTTTGAGTCCTGAAGAGGATGGGATCAGATAGGGGCCCCACTCCTTTGGCATTTCGTGCTTGAATGCGAAAGTAATACATAGTGTCAAGGTTGAGATCCATGATCTGATGAGTAAGCCGATCACCACTGATTGTTTCCATAATCCAGTCATCAATTGGTATGTTCTTGTCCAAGGTATAAAACAAGATGTAAGCTGCATAAATAAATGAATGCAACTTTGTTTAGTGTACTGACAGCTTGCTACACTTCTGCTTCCAAACATTCATGTTTCCCAAATATAATTTGCAATGATTATTACATGTCTACAATCTATAAACTACAGTATTCAGTTAGGCAAGTAATGACTTTTATTGTGTATTGCAAGAATTAGATAAATAATTGTTTCAATTTACAGAACCTGAAAATGGAATAAGCCACTGGAAACAAAAATATGTGCCATATTTAAAAATGTGAGTTTTCTGCTGCTTATAAATCCTGATTATTGGCTTGCTCTAATATATAAGCATGATGAAAAATGTAATACATAGATAACAAATCTGTATAATTTTCACTGTAGTCAAATAATGAAAATAAACAATATTTATTTTGGCCTGTGTTTAAATAATAAAAATACATTGAAAAATATAAAATGCTGTACATGTTTAAAGTGCTATAAAAATAAACCATCATATGTTGTAATAACTCTGTGAGGTTGGCAGGGGCACTGTTTCTCTCCTTTCACAGATGATGGAGCTGAGGATGACCCAGGCTAGCTGGTAAAAAGGCTACGATAATATCTTCTACTGCCATACTAAAAATCCAGTGTTATGTCCCCTCATCCATCCCACCTAGGCAAAAAAAAAAAAAAGGGAAGAAAGAAAAAGAAAAAGTATTTCTAGATAAATGTAGATTACCTAGTTAATATCTCAAATATTAATAATCTATCATTTGATAGTATCATTTACCCTGTGTTAGGGGATATGTTACTTGAATGCTGGTAGTGTACTCATTGGTGATAGTCTAATATGCACCCAAACAAATCCAGGCAGCCCTGTAAAATATTCACATTCTAATATTATATTTAACCAATATGTAAGCTAGCTTTTATTTAAAAGCATTAATTCATGATTTTATATTACACTATCAGATGAAACAGTAAGAGCTCATCGTAGGTGTCTTTGTTACATAAATGTGGTACCAGCCTCCATTTCTGTCAAAATTCTCCAATGATATTTGCAAAAGATAGCCCACAAATGTCCCTAGTTCTATTCTTATGCATTGAATACATCCTTTGTAAATCATATTTTTAAAAACAATTGTCTTCTTTTGATTCACCCATTCTTTCCTTTTGAGTCCTGCTGGCCCCATCTCGACGGGGGACCCTCAAACACAGATCTTTCAATGGTTATGTCAGAGGGTTCTCTAACTCAGATTCACTTCCCTCCCAAATTAATTATGCACACTATCTACATCTCAGCACAAACCCTTACTCCAGGAAGACTTGTCTCCACACTATGCTTATTTCTACCTCCGTCTTATTCCTCACACCACTCCACCTTTCCTCACTTTCTCTAGCCAAATCCTACCCATCCATCAAGGTCTAGTTTAAGCTACATCTAACATATGAAACCTTTCTCCATAGAAGGCTCTCCTCTCTGTAAACTTTGTAATACACTTCAATAAAGTGTAAGAGCATTTATATGATTTCATATCATTTGTCACTTAATCCTATAGTGACTTATAGAATTACGCCTGGGTTTGGAGGATGTATTCTAGACAATGGACCCAATATTTCTTCCTTGAGATTCTGTAGGATTAAGCAATGTTGCAAACTTCAACATCCAGTGGTCCATTTCTCTGAAATTCAGATCAGTGCTGAAAACTTGCCTCTATTGTGCTTTGGCTTTCACCTTTTCCCGAGTTTGGTGTTTCCCAGATCTACCTAATCATAAGAACTACCTGGGGGCTGTGTACAAGTTACAAAATATAGACCCCAAGAAAGGGCATTTTGATTTAATATTTATGGCAAATAGAGTCTTTGCTGGCCCCATTATCCCCACCTCCTGGTAGTGACACCTTTGGGTAATCCTTTCTGTCTGAGTGTAGATGGGATCTAAGCCTTGATTTTTACCAATAGAACGCAGCAAATATGATGGACTGTCACTTCCAGGATTATGTTAAACGACATTATAACTTCTGTCTTCCTAGCAGACTCTACAGACTCTCTCCTTTGTTGGCTTTGATGAAATAAGCTGCCAGATGGAGAGGATCATGTGGCAAGGAACTGAGGGTGGGCTCTGACCAACAGCCAGTAAGGAACTGAATCCTGCCAACAGTCACATAAGCTTTGAAGCAAATATTTCCCCAGTCAAGCCTCAGATGGGACATAACCTAAGCTAACAACTCGATTGTTGTCTTATAAATGGCCCTGAAGCAGAGGACCCAGCTGAGCTGTGCTTGGATTCCTGACCAACAGAAACAGCGAGATAAATGTGTATTGCTTGAAGCTGTTAAGTTTCTGGTGATATTGTTACACAGTAATAGATAACACAATAGGCTAATGGTAATCGAGTAATCTGCACCCTAAATGATTTCTATGTTCAGGTAAGATCAGGAATCACTGCTTTGGTTGATATGTGGACTCTGTATATTTTTTGGCATTTGTTGAGATGTTGATGCTGCAGCTATGAATGTCTTAAGATGAGGAGAGCTCAGGAGAAGATAAAAGACTCACCAAGATGCAGAATTCCGCAAAACTTATAAAGGTTGTATTTGCATAACTTCTCCCTCTGGTTAATGTTAAAATTGGAAGGGTATAATTCAAAAGGGACTGTGAAATATCATTGGATAAAGGAGTTGTTTTGACTCATGGATGTCCATTCATTTATAATTCAGCCCCCAAGATCAACATCAATAAAATCTCCTAATATTCTTTCAGCCAGAGTGGTCTCCATTCTTGTCTCCAAAGAACCACATCTATTGAATAGAAGACCCTGGTACTGGTAATAATTTTTTAGCTTTTATTATGTGCATGTCTTATCTCTTCAAAAGAATAAAAACATTCCTTTAGTTCAGAAGCCATAGCTGATATTACTTTTTATTCTTCAAAAAGACTAATAAAGTAGTCTTCACATAATAGGTATTGAAACTCACTTATTGAATGAAATCCCCTAGCCTGTGAGCACATATGATTTACATTAATGACATGTAATGAAATTGTTCAAGTTTTCATGAGCTGTTGTAAGTGTATCATGAACCTGGAAGTTTGGAGAACTGTGCTCCTGTCCCAGGTCAATTACACTTATTCCTGATTTTCTTTATTTTCCAAGTGAGAATATAATATTTGCCTTCACTGTGCTTTTTCCTATGTAAAAAGTATTCAGTTAGGCATTTAAAAATGACAGTTCTGCCATTATGTAAATAAGGTTGAAGTTGCAAGCATCAAGTTTTGACAATTCCAAATCGTATATGGCAATTTCTTGATATCTATGAAGAAGCCTATCTCTTTTTTTGTAAATTTGAGAACTGAGAGGGAGAATAAAAACAGATCATATTGTTCGAAACTCTAAAAATTGGCCTTAGAGAAAGCATACAACTTCATTTGGATGTGTGAGTTTAGCGTGTTTGGAGGCTACTAACTCCATTATTAAAATCTTACCTTATAGATTTCCATATAACCACACAGGTTGGAACAAATTCATTTGTTTCTCACTACCTTTCTGTAGGTATACATTCATTTCTCTGTGTCCAAGTCTCTGATGTCTCCATCTTTTTTCTCTTACTTTTGTTCTACTTCATTCTTGTCTCTTACCACAACTGGCCAAACAATGAAGTATTATGTTCTATCATAGGTTGTAAGACCTTCTGGGATTGTTAATTTGCCTGGGCACTCCCACACTGGAGTCACATTCGTCTAAATACATACAAAATGTAACATCATACATCCGTCATTCTGAGTCTACTTATACGAATGGGTAGTTGTAATCCCAGAAGCGAAGTGTAGGTAGGACATATGTGTTTAGAACTCCTTGGATGGATATACATTTCAGAGGCATCAGTTTGCGTTCACTGAAGCCCAGTTTTAGTATAGACACTTTTTCATAGCAAGTAACAATGGGAATAAAAAGATCTGCATTTGGGGAAGCAACACTCAAGGAACGGGTAGAAGAAATGTCTGCTAAAAAGACTGAGATGCTATAGCCTGGAAGTGGGAATAAAAGTGGTTAGGTGATTTTACAAAACTAAAGAGAGAAGAGAATTTCAAGAAAGAGGAATTGGACTAGAGTATCAAATGACACAGAAAAAGAGAGTATAACCTTTGCCATTAGATTGTATTGATAAGGAAACAACCTCTAATGGCTTAATTCCTCCCTCTATCTATGTTGGTCCTGATCTTAAATAATGTTGGATGCTGCATTTATTTATTTTAAATTTTATTTATTTATTTTTCCCCCAAAGCCCCAGTACATAGTTGTATGTCATAGCTGCACATCCTTCTAGTTGCTGTATGTGGGACGTGGCCTCCGCATGTGGCCTCCGCATGACCGGAGAAGCGGTGCGACGGTGCGCGCCCGGGATCCGAACCCGGGCCGCCAGCAGCCGATCGCGCGCACTTAACCGCTAAGCCACAGGGCCGGCCCTGCTGCATTTATTTAGATCAAAGTTTCACAATTCTGGTTATACATCAAAATCACCTGGGGAGCTTTTAAAAAATACCATGCTCAATTCCTCCTCAGATAAATTAAATCATAAATCAGTTGAGAATCACTGATTAAGTTGGAGCAAAACATAGTGTAATAGTTAAGAGTATGACCCTGAGTTTTAAATCCTAGCTCTGCTACTTGTTGATTATTTGACTTTGGGAAGTTATTTTCCTCAGAAGGCCCTTGTCTCTTCATTTCAAAATGGAATAAGAGGAATATACGACCACTTACAATACCAAAGTGCTTAGCAGAATGCCAAGCATATAATAAATGCTTAACTCGTTTTGAATAATTTTCTTCTGAAAATGTGAGTCCAAATTCCTAAACTGCCAGTATATGATCAAAGAATTTAGGTACCGGAATTACCCACATCTCCTCCTTTGTCCTCTTTTTTGTTTAAACTTTTTGATGTGTATATATTTACAAACTGATAATCTGGGTTCTATGCAAAGCACATTAGTAAAGCCTCTCCTAGAATGGATTTCAAATTGGAATAATAGTAATTTGTTTCAATGCTTACTGTGCATCAGGGACTTTTCTCAGCACTTTATTATAACAATTCTATAAAAGAGGTTCTATTACTATCCTTATTTTATAGATGAGAAAGTGAGACTCAAGGAGGTTAAATAATTTGCCCAGCCATCTCCCTCAGAAGCTTGGGTTCTTACCCACCCTGCTCTGCTGATGAATACAGGCCAGGACTTAGGAAAACAAAGAAATAAAGGTAGGATGGGAGCACTCCCTCCACGTAGGCACATAGGTGTCTTGCCACATTTTCCTTTGCACTTTGCATGAGAAACAGAGGGTAGAAAATATGGGCCCTCTGCCTAATGGTCTGGTATTTTGAATATTTTATCATCCTATTTTCTGGAAGTATTTTGATTGAAAGAATCTATGTATGGAACAGAAGTTGTCTTAAAGACTTGTGGGGGATCAGAACTGGCTACCCCAAAATGTGTCTCTTTTGCTTGATTATTTTTAAGGACAAAAGACTCTGAAAGAAACTTTGACCTTCCCCCTAGCTGCCTAAAAGAATTTAAGATAAAAGGCCTGTTCCAGGAAGGAGCTAATACCATAGGATACCTATAGTATAACATAAATTAGCTGTGCTAGACAGAGAGGAACCTAATAGGGCCTTTTAATCAAAGTCCTCTCCATCTGTCATTGCCTTTGCAAGGCATGGTCAACATTTGTTTATCAAACATTTGCTTTTCCATCTGCCTGTGAATTGCCTTCCTCCCCTTTGAAGTCCCAAACCACTACCCCCATCATCTTTCTTTGTCCTTAGGTGAAGATGGTATTTAAGGTAGTGGTTTCCACCATTTTGGCAAGTTACTCAGTTTTCCTGAGTTTCTCCCATGTATACATGTTATTAAATTTGTTTGATTTTCTCCTATTATTCTGTCTTATGTCAATTTAATTCTTAGATCAGCCGGAAGAACCTAGAGGGTAGAGGAATAGTTCTCCCTCTCCTACAGATTCTTAGTATTTGCTTCCTGTTTAATTGAGTCAAAATATCTCAAATGAATAATCACAACTTGGTTTTAATAAATAAACTAGGCTTTAAAGGTAAAATGTATTGCATCCCATACTTTTACTTTACTATTGTGGGAGAATGGATTGTTAGTAGTGAGAACTACTGAACATACAACTCTAAATAAAATATGTGGACCAGAATTCTTACACATGCACTGTGATTTTGGCACACAGAATTTTATTGCTTAGATTAATTTGCATTTCTTAATATGGGGAGGCCTTCCATTTTTTTCCCTTGAAAAGCAAAATTAAGCTTCCTTTCAGAGTTGAAAACACATTCTATTGTTTACATTGACTATTTGATGAGATTTATTTAAATAAGAGTAGAGAATTGGGTAGTATATAACTTATTTTGTCCTTTACCACAAATATATATTTTTCCATTAGAGCTTGTTTTTATTTAGACAATTTCTATTCTGTTTTTTACTTCTTAAACTTATTATCTGTTGATTTACCATATGCTTATAAATAACTATTTATAACATAATGAAATAGTCATCACGTAACCAAATCAAAATCTACAAAAGTATTGAAGTAGAACTCATGAAAATAGATCATGACACTGAGGGGGAAAAAAGAAATTAGAATGAGCCAGCCTCAGTTTTAAAAAGCCTGGCAGAGTGAAATCTGATATAAGATTTTGGGGAGATTTTACGTCCCTCTTCTTTTTTCTATATTTGTCAGCTCAAATGAAAATTCTGTTTGCTATCGCAGTAAGAGCAATTTCCTAGAGAAAATAAGTCTTCAACTTAAATTTAAATCACTTTTGGAATTTTCACGTTATTTTTCATTTTGTAAAATTCAGAAAGTAACACATAAAGTAAGTGTGCCATCTGAACTGTAATTTTCATGCTTATCTCTGTATCACAGAATGACTGAATTACTCTCTCAATTTATAATAGCGCTATCCACCTCTTGTATGCAAAAAAAGAAGAAAAAAGAGTGAATCTTACATGTGCCTACCCAATGGTTCAAGCTAATTAGACTACAATGTGCACATTTTTAGCTATACAATATTTTTCATAATAATTACATGCTATGGAGACATCTATTAAAAGCCTAAAGTGATCATTTAAATGCAAAATCCCTGATAGAACTCCATTATATTTTTCATACTAAATTAACATTACAGACTTCTAATGGATGCTTTAATTAGGCGTTGATGTTATCAGCAACATTTGGCAAAATAAAATCTGTCACTGTGAAATATTCATTAAGTTCAATTTCTGTCAGTCAATATTAAGCGTTTTCCAAAGCTTATGATTCAAGTAAGAAGCTAAAAACTAAGTGAGAAACTAAAAAACCCCAGACAAACCTTCATTTGTGCCATACAAAAATGCATGGTCATTGGTTGTCTTTTGTATTTTATAATTGCCAAACAACTGGCTTCTTTTTAGTCATTTATGCTCAGAGGCATTCCATTAGAACGTTGTCCTAATGCTCCATAGAATGAACAACAAAAGGTCTATACTAATTGAAATGCACATCTTTGAAGAAGCAGCTCAAATGAAGTGTGCATGTGTGCATATTTGTATGCCCCATTAGAAGAATTCCACAGTCAGTGTGGGGTAAGAAGAGACAATCAGAAAGGGTCAGGAAGTCAACTGAGATGCTGGCACAGAAAACTAATACACAAAAGGCATGAGCAGCATACAAAAGGTCATAGGCCAGCACAGTAATGCTGGAAATAAAGCGGAGGTGCTTACCAGTAATTTTCCCATTGGCTTCCAAGGGAGGCTGCCAGCTCACAATGACAGCGCGAGGCTTCCCTTCTCGAGTAATGACTGTCAGATCCTTGGGAGCAGAGGTTGGGGCTGTGAGATGAAACAGAGACAAGGCCTTGTCATTGGATGTGAAAGGAAACAGACATTTATGGGATTTTAATCATGTTGACATTCAGAATCTATCATGCAGTATAATATGCTTTTTTCACCATTTACAACTTATTTCAAGTATTTGAATTAAATAAGAAAACAAACAAAAATACACAAATTAATATTTTTCCATGGAAGTTAAATGACTTCCAAAAGTGTGCATATAAAGGGGAGAATAGATTATGTGGAAATATAGAGGAGAAAAATATAACTGGTATTTTCGAGTGATTGCTACACTAAAAATGTAAGAGCCAGGGCCGGCCTGGTGGTGCAAGCAGTTAAGTGCATGCGCTCTGCCCAGGGTTTGCCAGTTTGGATCCCGGGCGCGCACTGATGCACCGCTTGGTAAGCCATTCTGTGGTGGTGTCCCATATAAAGTAGAGGAAGATGGGCATGGATGTTAGCCCAGGGCCAGTCTTCCTCAACAGAAAAAGAGGAGGATTGGCAGATGTTAGCTCAGGGCTGATCTTGCTCACAAAAAAGAAAAAAAATGTAAGAACCATACAAGAACAAAGAAATGTACACATACTTAGTGAGATTGATGGCTATATAACCACAAGCTCAAGCACACCCCATCTCTTATCAACTGGGTGAATAAGAATTGTTTTTCAGAAAATTTGTGAAGTCACATAGCCAGAGCGTACATAAAAGAAGAAATCTTGACCTGAAACGACCAGGGAACTAAAGATTCTCCTCCCCGTGGAACCAAAAGACCGAGACTTAACCGGAACTTGAAAGTCGGACTCGCATCATAAGCGAGGGTCATTCATCCAGGAAGATCCAGTGTGAAAATTCCTTCCCCACCTTACCATAAATGTTTAGAACCTTCCTATAAATGCTTGAATCCCACCAATCAAAATCTGTCCCGCCAGTGTTTCCATGTGCCAGCCTGTTCTTCCTAACCTCTTAAATTTCACCCCAAATCCTGAATCAGTTAGACACATCTGAGGGTACATCCCCCCTGTCTCCTTGCAGATGGATCTAGCAATTAAGCTCTTTTCTTTTCCCAAAAACTAATGCCATAATTAATTGGCTGTTTTATGCACATTGGGTAGGAGAACCCCATTTTTGTGCAGTAACAGCTATATGTCTCCAAGAGACAGAATTCCGTTACAACTGTAGGATTTATAAATGAACATGTCACCTAATTCTATTATTTCCTTAAAAGCCAAGAAAAAAATGAATGAATTTAAATGCAAGTCACAACATCTTGCTTAGGTAACATACTAGGTATCTCCTAAAAAGAAGGCAAAGCAATATTCAAAAATAGAGAATGTAAGAAATCTATGAGGCTCTTAATATCAACCTGGCATGAAATAAGATGGCACAAAATCCTGCCTTTCTTAGAGCTCTTTTTCTCACATGTTGTTGAAGGGAACAGAATGTGTCACCCCAAAATATGCCTCTTTGGCATGAGGATTATTTTAGGCTGATTATTTTCAAGCAACAGCAGACATAGAAAAGCTCTGAAAACCAAGAAGTTACCCTTTTGTAAGAGAAATTTATGTTTATAAGGCAAATCTCCATTTGTAAGTGTGTCTCCCTCGCTGTACCAAGAAGAGGAGGAAGACAAAATTTCTAGAAACTCTCATCAGTGGAGAAGGCAGAGACTTACATCTGCATAAAAACAATACCCTTGCTTACTGTGATTTGCCTGAAAATTTCCCATAACTGGCTCCCAACTCCCAACATTTTCTTTTGTCGTTAGCTGGAGGTAAAATTTAAGGAGGTGGCTTGGGCCATTTCAAGGAGTTACTCAGTTCTCCTAAGTATCGCCTTTGTATACAGGAAGTACACATATTATTAAACTTCTGTTTGTTTTTCTCCTGTTAATCTGTCTTTTATTACAAGGGGATCTCAGCCAAGAACCTAGAAGGGTAAAGGGAAAGTTAATTTTTCTTCCCTACATTGTGCCCAACAAAATTTTAAATATTCTTTAAAGGTGACAGCAAACTGGCCAAGCCAGTCCAGTATCTTCCACGCTTCTTTTGACCTGCATTCTGACTCTCTATGCTTTGAAATGCAGTTAGTTTTCCTTCTAGGTAGCTCACAATGCTCCATGTCTATTATCCATAGTCTCTTTTAGTTACCCTTAATTTGACATAGGCAATTTCAGAACATATCTAAGTTCTACAGTTTGGTTCTGTAGGAATTTCCTGATCCCTGCATAAGAACGCTTGTGTTCTTGTGTACAAGAACAACTTGTGTACAAGATAGGTACAACTTGGTCCTAACTCTGAACTCCTCTTCACTCTTTCATTCTCTTTGGCTTTTCTGTTGGCTGTATAGTGCAGAATCTGAGCGTTATCAACACTCTATTTCCAGATTCTCTTACTGAATAGAATTCCAAATAGAAGACACGTCAAATATTTCCATATATCATATCATTTTATTTCCAACAACTCGATCCTCAAAACTACTAGGATTCCATGTTAAGCCAAGCTGCACCTAATTGCAATATCCTGACAAGGTACTTAATGTATTTCAGTTAAACCAAAAAAAAGGAGGAGAAGGAGAAAAAAGAAGGAGGAAGAAAAGAAGAGGAAGAGGAGGAGTAGAAGGAGGAGGAGAGGAAGACAAGGAGAAAACATAGGTCTATGTAGTTGATCCCTGAGTGAAGAGACTGCATGTGTATGAAACCAGAGCTAGGACATTCTTGCAAGAAAAGATGATTAGTTATAACAAAACACCAAAGAGGCGATGCTATCTTAAAGAAGGGTTATTCTCATAAAGAATTCACTCAAGATATTTTCTAGTCCCCGGATAGGAAAGTAATATACAGTCACAAATTGACTTAAGTTTTATACCAAGCATAATAAGAAATTTTCTGATTATAGAAGTAATTAAAAGATCTGTCTTTTTAACTAGTCAGAATAGTTTGTTTTTTCTTAACTGTGTTAAAATTCAAATTGATGCTTATTTAGAAAACAGTCAAATGATGATGATTAGATTGCTTCACTGAACCTCTTACAGTATTCAAAAAAGATAAAATTCCTCTTCAACTTTAGCTAGCAAAATAATACATTGAAGAGTTGATTATATTTTTTAAAAAACCAGTCTAACAACCAATCTATTTCAGGTGTTGTGCAAGTTTTTATTTTTCCTCAAGCTATGTGAGTGTTGGTGAATAGAGATTCTGGTATTGGAATCAATAGCACAAATGTTTAGGATTATCATATGAACTGCACACTACTCCCTAGAATCTGGAAAAGAATATGGCCCTAACAACTTCAATGATCCCCACTAGGTCAAACAGAACAGAACGTCTCTGGTCTACTCCTCTCCAATCTCATGGGCTCTGCCTGGAGTGATCTTTTAGAAATTCTTCATTGACTACCCATCCTCTTTGAATTAAACTTAAATAAATAACAATAAATAATAAATACCAGGGCCGGCCCCGTGGCTTGGCGGTTAAGTGCACGCGCTCTGCTACATGCGGCCCGGGTTCGGATCCTGGGCGCGCACCAACGCACCACTTCTCTGGCCATGCTGAGGCCACGGCCCACATACAACTAGAAGGATGTGCAACTATGATGTACAACTATCTAACTGGGGGTCTTTGGGGGAAAAAAAGGAGGAGGATTAGGCAATGATGTTAGCTCAGAGCCGGTCTTCGTCAGCAAAAAGAGGAGGATTAGCACGGATGTTAGCTCAGGGCTGATCTTCCTCACAAAAAAAAAAAAAAAATAATAATAATAATAATAATAATAAATACCAGGCCCTGCAGGATTTATATTCTACTTTCACAACCTCATGTCCCCTTGTCCCATGAATACTGTGCTCCAGTCACTCTGAACCATTCATCGGTGTCTTGAAGACATCTTTCTGATATTGCTTGTGTATTTTTGTACATGTTGCTCCCTTCCTTTAGATCATCAAGAACGGGCACATGATGATACACACAGGCCATAGCTTAGTCATTATTTCTTTTGTGAAACCTCCCCTTATTTCTCCAGACAGAATTTATACTTGGATTTATTTGCTCTGAATCCAACTTACTCAAAATTCTGTGATTGTATTTTTCATGTTATTTCAGGGTTTTTTTTGTGTGTGTGAGGCAGACTGGCTCTGAGCTATCATCCATTGCCAATCCTCCTCTTTTTGCTGAGGAAGACTAGCCCTGAGCTAACATCTGTGCCCATATTCCTCTATTTTGTATATGGGATGTCACCACAGCATGGCTTAATGAGCGGTGTGTAGGTCTGTGCCTGGGATCCAAACCTGCGGAAGCGGAGCACACGAACTTAACCACTATGCCAACCAGCCAGCCCCTCAGGGTTTGTTTTTTTTTAAAACATTTTTCTTCTGTATTAGATTATAATTATCTCAAATATATAGACTCTAGTCTCTTTACCTTTTATACCAAGTCCCTATCTCAGGACCTGACAATCAAAAATGAACATTATTGGAAACATAAATAATATCTCAGTTTACTGGGTACGAACTGCTCTCTAGTTTATCTGGTTCTCAAACAGTTTTTCCCATGCTTGAATTTCTTTGTTAAGTGCGTGAATGGAAGGTAACGTTCAAGATTTAGAGGATTCCCAGCCACAGAAACTGTGTGGGTCATTTGTCATTTGGACTGTCCAACATTCCATCCCTTCCTCCTCCATTAGAGAAGCACTCAGCTTTCTCCTTTGGGAGCAAGCTCTTCTTTGTGTCCTGTGAGCTTGGTAGCAACATCAATTAGAAACTTCATGACTTTCATCCCATTGCCTCTTTAGCTGTGTGATTCTCTCTTCTGGGAAATTAAATATTGATACAAAGAAAGAAAACACATGGAGTCATGATGGCAGCACCTTGTTGGGACAGTCCAACAGTTCCTCATCTCTAAGGCCTGGGAGGACTGCTGGCTCCTGTCCTTTTCCAAGACTTCATTATTCTAGGTGTCCTTCCAGTTATTTTTATTTTACTTAACTAGAATAAAAGGAAGAATTCATTACGTGGATAGAATAAAATGGTTTATTTCAAGAATTTGCCAGCCGCCCTTATCTTTATCATGAGCAATTTCAGCACAAGTGCATAACAACACAGCCCCATATAGTCCTTATATTATTTCAGAATTAAAAGTAAACCCTAGAGTTATTTCATTCACTTCATGTCCTTCTCACAGCTATAAAATTGTAGACACTTGTGAATTACTTCTTGCTTCTCATCATCACCCAAGGATCTCATCCACATGCTATTTACACCTTTGTCCAGATCATTATCTGTTTTGACAATCACCCTTCCTACTAACCACATTTCTAAAAGTTAATATCTTTTTGTCAGCAATGGGTCTCACCATTGGTGCCCCTACAAGGTTAGGCAGTTGATGAGAAATCAGTAGGGTACATTTATCAAGTCAGACATTGGTGTGCATTTTATGTTAATGAAAGGGAAAAATGAATGAATTTGTTTGCTTTAAGAGGAAATTACTACTCCTTCTCTTTCATTCAGGGAAGACCAAATGTCTTACAGGTTTACGTTTAACTCCTTTCATCTCTTTTTAAGTAAAAAGGAAGAGCAGGACCTTTATTCTCCCCATAGTACAAAGCTCATTTAGCTTGTTTTATTCTTCCTAAGAAGCTGTGAAGATTGACATCCAGGGAAGAATTCTAGGAGAAAGAGTTGATATACATAAACATGTAAAATACGAGAAGAGGATATTGAAATTAAATCAGACAAACTACAAAACTTCTTATAGGAAGAAGTATCCACAAAAATGTAAAAATATTCACAGTGAACTCTCTGAGTTAAGGTAGTAGCCTGAAATAAAAATCAGAACTGCATTACCATGGGACAAATTCTAATGGAAAGAGAAATTCAGCTTACTCAGAGAAGAATTTCATTGGCATAACTTTTTTTTAATTTGGAAGTGTTTGGTATAGTTTACCCCCTAAAGATGATGTACCATGAAACCAATTAAAAATCATGTTAAACTTTGTTTTCTTCAGATGTTGGATTTCTGTGAACCATAGAAGCCAAGTACACTGTATGTCCGTTAAGGTTATAAACTCAACATTTATGATCCACAGCAAATCTGACTGCTAAAATTTACAGTGAACTGCATTTACCTAAGATCTCAACTATTTCAAATTGCACGAAGGTTTTCCACTGCGTTGTCTTATTTCCAAAAAGTGAACTTGACCACTCAGAAACTTCTTCCCACAGCCAGTTGAGGTTATTGAGAGTAAGCATCCATGAGACTACAGTTGTAATGCAATGTTTTATTTTGTGCCTAATTTCTTTCCAGAAAAAATAAATACCTACCATACTGTTGATCAAAGACACAAATGCTTTGGATAGAGTTCAATGCATGGATGTCTGCCTTTACTCAAGTGTATTGAAAAGAAGGTTTATATTCAGATCCCCTGGGTTAACACCCAGATTAAAATCAGATTACTCAATCCATTGGAACTCATTTTCTTCTTTTCTAGAGTGGGGATGATAATATTACATATAAAAGTGCTATGAACCATAAAGCATAAAATATTTTATATAGAATAAGGTATAATTTAGACATCATGGTGCACATAAGTTCCAATTTCCAAAGAACCTGAGACACAGCGTTACCAAATATCAGAAGTAGACATTTCAAAGCTAGCCTTTCTTCACCCACCTGCTTCGTATGTCGTGGCATGTGCAGTCATGCTCCACGTGCTTGACCTCCTGTTTTTTGTTACCATGACCGAGAACTCGTACATTGTGTTTGGTTTGAGGCCTGTTGCTGTGTAACTCAGAGATGTTGTGTCTTCTGACTATACAAGTGGGAAATAAGCAAAGAGAAAAAAAAAAAATGACCTCTATCACCTTGGTAAATCAAGACATGGAGAAATACTATCAAATAAACTGGCAAGAAAGGAGTCTATTTCCAAACAGCAGAAGAGCTAGCATGCAGCACTGACTCTATTTCCCTTCCGTCAACCAGTTTAGACTAGCTGATTGTACATCTAAAATATGATCAATAAAATCAGGTGTTATGTTGTTCAAAGGGGCAGCTAGCTGATAAATTTTCCCAACTGAGGCAATAACCACAGCGATAGGACCAATTCCACTTCCTTCTGTCTATTCCATTTTTAAGCTTATCCGTACTGACTTTCACTTCAATTTATTTGTAATAGTCAAAATCTTTTTTTCAGAGGTTTTAATGATTTTACGTAGATCATCATGATTATTTTCTACTGGTAATAAAATTAATTTTTAGAGTTCTACTGCTTATGATATTTTTAAAAAGGTCTTATGGCACAAACTCAGTGATTCCAGAATCTATTTAGCTATTATAGAGAAAATGGACAAAAGCAAGGTTGTGTTGTGCGGTTTTTGGCTTTTTTTTTTTTTTTTGGTGCACACTTCACATTAAACACAGATTTAAGTATAGTCCCTGGAAGAATTGGTCAGGAAGTGAACAACAAATTGGATAAATATTAAAGGATTGCATTAGTGTCTTCTGAATCCATTCTTTGTCTTTCAAACAAGTTAAAGATATTTTGGCAGAAAGTAAATTATCTGTTTTTATTGCTTATTCAAAAGATCAAAATGGTAATAAAGAAAAAACAGGTTAACGTCCCAGGTTAACGCATATTTCCCATATGATTAGGCAAATTTAAGACTTTTTATGCCTCTTATAAATATCAATTTATGCTTGATATTTAGAACTTGATCTTCCAAAGTTAAATATTTATTTTTACTTTTATATTTACGACATTTGTTATATATCTACCTCTAGAAAATCAAGTAAAGCTCTTTTTCCCTACCTATGTGATACCCATCTCCTTCGTTAGTACTCTAGTGTGGTATATCTTTTTTATTCTACTATGAATCCTTCTTAGATTATAGCTATGAAAATCCTACATCTCATTACAAAACCAAATAAATATTTAACTGTACTAATAACACTTCGATGATTTGCCCATCCACCCTATTAAAGTGATAAACTCATAAACATCTATCAGAAGCTCCTCTTAAAAATAGCTGTAAAAATGGGTGCCCTAAATAAATGTAAAAATACTTTGTAGACTCAGGGAGATAGAATCCCATCAAATAAAACAGAAAATGGGCAGCTAGTATATGACATGCTGATATAGAACTTCCAATCTTGCCCTCCTTCACTATCATGAACACCTCTAAGTTTTAGAAAAGGAAATAAGGGGAGAAATGGGACAATGAAAAATATTTCAGATAGGAGAGAATGAGTGTACTTTGATAAAACTAGTCTCTTTGAGCATAGACACTACTGGCATTTGGGAGGCCACTAAGCAACATTGTCCTTGTTTGTGTTCTAGAATGGCACACTTACATTCTATAAATACTGTGAATTCACTGAGTTTTCTCAGGAACTTCATAGAAGGTTACTGTTCTTCATAAATCATTAAACCTAGAAGTACTTTGGAAAATCATGACCACTTATTTTTGTGAGCATAGAATACCCAGGTACAACCTGAGCCTCAGTTTCCTTATCTATAAAATGGAGATAACCATAGTGCTAACTTCATAGCGTTATTTAAAATGAGAAATAAGTGCTAACTTCATAGCGTTATTTAAAATGAGAAATAAGTGAACTAAAACATAGTGTATGGTCCATATTAAATAAATGTTAGCTGCAATATTTCATGCATTGTCTAATGTGATATATAATTTTAGGCATGTGTTAAATTCCCAATTGAATTACAAGCATCTTGAGGGCTGAGAATGAGTCTTGTGCAATTTTGTATCTTCTGTAATATCTGCTATATCTGATAGGCATTGGTCAATAGTCAATGCATGTATTTTGAGATGAAATTCATATAAAACATCATGTGGTTAATCTCTTTCGTCAAAAAGAAATTATAGAAAATTCCTCCATTTGATGAGGAAAGTCAGTACAGAGTTTTGACAATCAAAATATGAATATCTGGGTTTTAGTTTGGTTTGAGACTAAATGAAGTAGAGGGGTACTCCTGACTTCTGTGGGGAGGCCCCTGGATAATGCTATCAGGTCATCTGAGTTCAGCTCGAGTTTAATGGGAAATTTTTGTCACATTGTACAATCTACCTATACCTTTATAAAGATATCTACGTACATACTTAACTGTGAAGAATCTTACTATTTTTACAGTAGATGCGACTATCACAATAATATAGATGAGAAAAAAATGAGATTGAGCGATTTAAGTGACATGACAGGATATAGCAAAGCCAACTCTTGAGCCCAGATCATTTGACTCCATGTATCTGTATTGCCCCTCTGTCTTGTGTATGCCCTGCTTAGCTTATACAGCTGTAGCAGGAAGTGAGATGAAGTAATAGATACGACCATGGTTTGAAAAGTTCGAAATGCAAAACCAAAGCATTCTATTACCATTATTTGTAAAATTTAAGTTTATTGTATATCTTTCTAGTGGACCAGATATGTTTTACTTTTTTCCTTACTTCCCAACTCTTTCCTCCCACCCATCCTCGTCTCAGGGTATAGATGTAGAGAGAGAGTGTGTTTGTGTGTGTGTGTGTGTGTGTGCAAGAAGGGGAATGGAATGTTAGTAATTGAAAGCCTTAGGTCTGGGAAGATGATGAGAAGAGGAACAGTTAAAATCTTTTTTCCATTCCCAAACTTCAGTTCTCAATGAGAGAAATCAGACACTCCTTACAGAGGATTGTTTTTGGGTTGGGTCTTAGTTTACAGGCATTCTTTGTGAGACTCAATAATTCCGCGTCTGCGGTATTAACTCTTCAACTGAAATAATTTGCCTAAGAAATTTTGGAACTCAAACCATTCTACAGAGAACAATCATTGTCCTTCAGAACATTTCACATACTGGCAAAGTACCCATGGCCATTCCGTGAAATGAACGTATCTACCAAGTATAGCAATTACAAGCATAAAAATTTTAAAGTAGTCTTTTTAAGGTAAATTTAGAATTGTGCAATCTGTATATGAAGAGAGTTTTTTTGTTTTAATGCTCTCATATACTTCATCGGTTGTCTTATCTGATAATGTTATCTTTATTTATAGTTCTGCTGAGTTTTAAATCTAATACTGTAGGAGATGGATAGTGTATTTACAACATATCTTATATCAACGATATTATTCGGCTTGCCTGGAGAGTTTTTCCAAATACCTGACATAGCAGGGCGGCAGTACCAAAGAAAATTGTTTTTTAAATGCTTTCAACTACAAACTGATTTATGAAAAAAATGTGAATTTTATGCCACTTAAAAATTGAAAGAGACTAGAAGCAGATCCAGCACGGCTACGGAAAGAAGAGGCAGACTTACAACATTATTGGTGGGATTTTGCCTTATCTCCAGGGTCTTTCGAGTCAGAAATTCCCAAAGGATATTTCTATGCCCTGAATCACCACTGGCTTGAGGCTAGACTAAGCAAGATGACAGTTTAGTGGAAAGAACATTGGACAAAGTATCAGGAGATCCAAGTTCTCCCTGAGAGCTGCTCTAGCAGAGTGATAAAGAGAATATAGAGATGCTAGAGTGCCAGGGTTTAACTTTTAGTTCCTTGGTTTTTGGGTAACATTTATGCTCTTATTTTCAAAGCTACCTTCCTCATCCAAAATCATCATCTCGTGAAGTTTTATATTTTAAATGTTTTCATATATTATCTCATTTGAATAACGTATGAATTCTTTGAAGTATGTCTATAGAGCTGAGCATATTATTCATTTCAAAATTGTAAGTAATATGTCAAACAACAACAACTAAACCATGTTTAACTGCCTCCATGATCTAGCCTAGTTCTAGGTACGCGGTAGGTGCTTGATAATCACTTGTTGATCTTCTCAGTTTTGTCTACATTTGTGCATTATTTATATATACTAACATTGTGGCAGGCTTAGGAAGTAACAAAATTGTCCCAGTCTACAACAGTTTGTTTGGAGTTGCTGAGGATGGCTGATAGAAATTTGAAAGTAGCAACGACGATGTCTCGAATATGTACTTCTAAGGGGCTTTTAGGGAGATTGTGAATTGACTCAGTGATAGGACAGGAGGAATAAAGGGGCTGGTCTAATTCATATTAGTTAAAGGAGAGTGTGCGTTGTGAGTTTACCTCATGAGGGTTTTTCAAGGCTAAATGAGGAAGTAGATGCTAATGGCTTAGACTGCTTTCTAAGGATGTTTTTAAAAAAATCTTCAAGTTATATATTCCCAGTCATATTCACCATAAGATGGGTCTCTGTAACATTAATAGGCTTGCCTTTGGTGTCAATCTAGATTCACAATGAAAAGAAAGACACCAAAATCTGCCCAGAAAATTAACGTGGAGCCCTACTATTTTCAAAGGAAAATGGCATTCCCTTGCACAGAATCAAATTATTTATACAAACCCAGCACCTGGTGGAATTCAAATAACATTTTGCAGCTCTTGATCTTTCTCTACCTTGCCTTACAGTTGTTTCCCAAGACGCAATTATTCCCGTGCTAATTTTAGACATTGGGTTATTAAAATACTTTGTTTTTCCATTTAGTGTCATGGCAGCAAAACGATTCATGACAGTCCAGGAAGCATTTAAAACAATGTCTGAAACAAATGACAGTTCATTTGAAATTTCATACTAGCCATTAGGACTTCACCTTGTATTTCGCATTCGCAGCAAAGCTGGTCCTCCAGCGGACAGTGTAAAGTCGTACTTCGGATGTTTTTTGGTTCTTAGGGACAGAGTTGTCCGCCCAGCTGACCCTCACGGCATCGTGGGTAAGAGCCGCAGCCTGTACACCTACTGGTGGGAGCATGGGGGTGGAGACATCTGGGACCGAGGTGGGGAAATCATCAAGCAAAGGATAATAATCAACTGGGTCAGTGGGATCTGGGTTTAAAAACCCGCCAAATGAAACAAATACATAAATAAAAGAGTTAAAAAAATAAATATCAGTGGTAACACGTCACAATGAGTTAAATGCATGGCAGTAATGATGAAAGAGAACATGAGAAGAACAGAAAAAAATACAATTAATTCAATCGGAAAACTCATGAAAAACAGTACTGTTATATTATTATATTACAAAAAAAACTATTTTCTATAATTTTCTCATTTCTTTAGAGTAGTTTTATCAATTTGGCTGTCACTTCTAGTTATATTTTTTAAAAGTCCATTTCTTCTTAGAATGCGGCACATTGTTTCTTAAAAGACCTAGTATAAAATGTATCAGTTTTGTAACTATAGAGATAACTTCAACTAGCAAGATAAAAAGGAGTGTCTGGTTTATTTCCTCCTGCAAAGGCAATAAATGCCTATCTAACATGCGGTTTTTTGTTTTTGTTTGTTTTTCCCCTCCTTCTCTAACTTGATTTGGTTTCTCTAATGCTTTCATTATCGCTTAGCTTATATCTGCATAAGTAATGTTTAGGCAGGAAAAAAACAAATGATAAAGACCAAAGGACCCTGAGAGCTACAGCCATCTGTCCACGGCTGTGATTGCACAAAGCCAGGGTGATCAAGTCCATGTGATTCAATGAGACGTTTGATAATTAGGTTTCAAGTAGCCCTTGATGTGGCAGGTTTTCTTAGATTGAAATCCTTAGAGGAAGTGCGGAGTGTCCATTCTACCCACATTCTCACAGAGTAATTAACTCAGGTTTTAGTCTTTTAAGGCATTCCTATATTCTACATTCCTTGTTCTAAAATTTCAAGTTCCATGGAAAGACTATATTATTGGATGGGGATACAGAATGAACTACCCATAGACTGATGAGATTTGCGCTGAGGTGCACACATGCTTTGATCCCTAACATAATCAGAATGTGCATAATGATGTGTGTGGTTTTATAAATTCTCTAGAAAAATCTTGTACTCATTTTTATGCTGGGGATATCAGAATCTGAGGAGCTTATTTTGTGGCCATAGGAATAATCCAATTTTGAGCCTTTTATTTTATACTTAAGACATTTAAAATTTTAAAATTTTACCTTTAAATTATGTAATGTGTATTCTTACCAACAACAAAAAAATAAGATGAGCTCTCAGATTGGGCATATGATGACATTTGGGGAGATGAAACCTACTAAAATGTAGAGGATCTGAAGCAGTGCGCATACACAGTTTATATTTTTAAACAGTGTAGTTCCGAGCGCAGTGGCTGCTGACTGGTTTTGATGATGACCGCACTTTGTCCACTGCATTTTAAGTGCCTATCCCCCACTCATCACTCTGTTTTCCAATGAATTATTTAGTAGTTTACTGGGCTGTGGTCTTTGGAGTGAAATAAAAAACTCGAAAACAAAAATAGAACAAAAGGAAAGAAAGAGAAAGAAAAATGTGTGTTTAAAATTTCATGACAGAGGCCAGGCTTCCTGTATTTCTTTTGACGTATCTTTTTGTTAAGGGCTCGTTTAAACCCAAATGGATTTATGAAATGATGAGGGAAAGCGGAAGACATCGCAGCCTCCAGGAGGATCAGCATCAGTCATCAAGTTGGTACATCAGTAGGAGGTGTTCTTGTCAAACTAAAGCAGGTCTTGCCTCACTTGGCCTGTTTCTATTCCTAGCTGCCCTTCCAAGAAAAATTTTATACAAACAGGACGACTACTCTGAACTACTAACTCCTTTTTGCCCAACTTACATTAACAAGTTACCGTGTTTGTTGTTTCTTTGCTTAATCTAGTTTTGTTGGTAACCTTACATTAACTTTAGAGTCTTTTATAGTCACCATGGCTAAAGTTTTGAAAACTAGTGATTCTCCTTCAAGAACCGGTAATACTCAACCCTACTATTTCTGAATTTTAGAATAGTATATTTTTCATGACTTGTTGAGTTTCTTGGAGTCTCAGCTCCAGAATATGTCCCTCAAATATCGAGTAATGCTGTTTCTTGGTATTTTTCTATGAATTTACATAATTCAAAAATTTCTACCTTTGGCCAAGTTGTTCTTACCTATTTTAGGGAATTTTTTTTTCGGGGATGGCTTGTCATTCTACTTGCCACTTCCTCTAGAGCTGCGTTGTCTAACACAATAGCCAATAGTTACATGGACAATGTAAATGTACATTAATTAAAATTAAATACTGTTAAAAATTCACTGCACTAGCCAATTTTAAGTCTCAATGGCCACATGAGCCTGGTGCCTACCATATTGAATAATGCAGATACAGAGCATTTCCACCAAAGCAGAATATTCTCGTGGATAGCAAGTGCTGCTCTAAATACATACCTGCTACATAGATTGCTAATTATCTTTTTCTCTCAGGACAGAAACTGTTTGAGTAGTTGCATTAAAACGATTCTTTGTTGCTAAACAATTTTTTTTCATTTTATTTCCCATACTCCTAGGTGCCTTACTTGCTGTTGATTTTCAGTTGTTATATTCAAAAGAGTAAAATAAATAAATAAATAAATAAATAAATAAATAAATAAATAAAAAGACAAAATATAGCCTCGAACCTTTTGTTGAAAAGAGAAACCTATTCATTCCTAATAGATGTTTTGGTAAGAGCCCATGAATTTTCTAGCAATATACTAAAGTTCAAAATGAGCTTTAAAAAAAAAAAACACAATTTTACATCCGGATTGTACTTCATTCAGACATTGATAAAACAGTTGAGAATAAACAAATTCAAACAACACACCTCATTATTCCCCTGCCTTCTTCCCTTCTCCAGGGTCAAAATGTCTTGTTGTTGCAACAATAGGAAATAAAAGGCTGTACAGCAAAAATGAAACTCTCATCTCGCCCATTTGACCTGGTGGAACTTTCCTCAGCTCTAATACTGATATGATCAGGAAGAGATGAGGCTCCAGAGCGTGCCAGCAGCTTTGAACACGTGCGTGTAAAAAGCGCTATTGCCTGATACTTACTCTAGCCTGATGCATTTGTCGCCTTTGATTTTTTCTTTACTTTATGCTGGCCTCTTCCAAGACTGCTCACAGGAATACTTTGTAGAAGCTCAGACAGAAAATGTCGTCTCTGTGGCACTATGACACATTTATTGATAGAGTTTTTCCCAGAGCCTTAACCTTTGATTCTGTTTGTTTGTCCTTTGTTCTCCATGATGTATGGAAACACAATAAAATAAGTCTGCCATATCCAGGAAAAGTATATGTTTTTCTTTTGGAAAAGGCTAGTTTTATTCATTCCTCTCCAACCCCTTACAGCCTTTTTTTTTTTTTTTGAGGAAGATCGACCCTGAGCTAACATCTGCCAATCCTCCTCTTTTTTGCTGAGGAAGACTGGCCCTGGACTAACATTCGTGCCCATCTTCCTCTACTTTATATGGGACGCCGCCGCAGCATGGCCTGACAAGCAGTGCGTCGGTGCACGCCTGGGGTTCCGAACCAGCGAACCCCGGGGCACCGCATCGGAGCACGCGAACATAACCGCTTCCACCACAAGGCCAGCCCCAACAGCCTTTTTTTCAATAAGGAAATTCCTCACACAATTTTTAACTTTTGGTGTTATTTCATTTCTCAGATCCATTAGGATTAGAGTCATTTCAGGAAAAAAATTGTCTTATGGATCACCGGTGTTTTAGAAACCCCTCTGGGAATGCCATATGCTGAGAATTAAAGAATGCCAACAACTGTTAAGGGAAAAGAAGTTAATAACGCCTCAAATGGTTCTTTCTGAGCAACTTATCTTCAGTTTATCTGAACTCGACTATCTCTACTACTACTACTTCCTGCTCAAAAATTGATTTTCTTTTTTGTTTTTTTTTGTCACCTAAGTGACACTTCTTTGTAGGCTTTAGTTTTGGTAAGAAAATAAGAGTTTTAAAAGACTGGCCATAATATAATTTTGTGTGGCCTAATCACAAGCTCAAAATCACATCAACGAGCAGTTGCTCAGCATCTTCTACCACAGGCAGGAAAGACATGGCTTACTATTAAAAATTATGGGACACACGTGCACAGCCAAAGTGGCCTGCTATTTCTCGAAGAACCTTGCTGCTGGCAGAGAATAAGGGGAAGTGAAAATCCCAGACAGCCTCCATCATTTTATCTTGTAGTTTCCATCCTGGATCTCTGTTTGCCTCATCTCTCCATATTCAGGGATAACACATTTGACAGTGAATGTTCTCTAGGGTGATACTCCTTATTTACCCTGTTTGACTCCCTTGGATAACACAATAACAGATATATACTGTCTCCACAGACAAACGAATGTATTGACATGTACCCCAAATTTTGCATACCATTTTAGGCAGATCATAGACCTTGAAACCAGCAGCCAAAGATTCAAGGAGATTCTGGAATAACAACTTTGCCTTACAAGGAAATCTGGTTGAAATCAATAAAGGGATGACATGCTCTAGAAACCATCATATGACAGCTGTGAATTCACTTTACAACTGTGTATTCTCAAGATGGTCTGTGAATGGAGCTTCTGGGTTTGGAAAACAAACTATACAAAGTTTACACAAATTTAGGTGGTAGCAGAAGACACAGGATCACACTATTTATGTTTATTTATTCCTACTTGTCAGGACTTCATACTCAGGCATCCAGTAATTTTCTATATTCTCTGGTGCTCGCTATCAACTCTTGCTCTCAAATCCTTTATCCTCATTAAGATGAAAATACCTGATAAGTTAAACGAGGTCTGAGGGTTGTGAGTTTGGAAAGGGAGCAGGACCAAAGTATTCATTAAAAAGATGGAACTCTTCAGTTTTACTTTCAGATTTCAGACATAAGACAATTAGGGGCGGTCATGTGATTTTCCAGTGGGACTGTGAACACATGACTTTCCAGTGACCCCACAGAGGTGTTACTTATCCTACTTTTGAGTAATCCCCAGCCTTGCTCACAAATATTCTCCACAAATGGCTTGGGTCTCACTTCCTTACCCATCCTTTTCTCAGTTCTTTGAGTCTTTTTTCTCTCGTGTGCTGCCTTTACAGTCCAACTCACATAAGAATTCCTATAGGTAATAAGCCCCCGAAGCAGCCAAGCCTTTTAAGGTCCAGAGGCCCTGGGCACCACTGGGGTGATCTTTAGGCCTCAGGAAGAAGCCACCTGTGTGACTCAGCCCAGTGCAAATCAGCCCCAGGGGGTCAGTTCATCATTGTCATATTAGCTTGAAGGAGCCTCTGCAGAGAAGCAAGTGTCTATTCAGGCATTTGGCAGCCTTTGTGCAGACACTCTCCTGCCTAAATTGCATTGATGTGAGACATGCTGACTCAAGAGAAAGAAGAGTGTTATTGGGGCACCAAAATATGAAACTACTGGGAGCAGAGAGAGAATGAAAGACCTATATTGTCTAAGTCCACTTACTAATTTATAGGCTGAATTCTTCTCTCTTAAGTTTGAGAACCAAAAAAAACAAATTGTGTGTGTGTATACACATACATATAAGGCTCAGAACATGACTACATTCATTTTTTGGTTCCTTTCCTTTGTATTTTGTTTTACTTCTCTTTAGTTAGTTTTTTTTTTTTTTTCTTTACCATAACTCAAACACTGACTATATGTCACGAGAGGATTAGCTACTTTGGCTTACCTGTTATAGACCTGGTGGTGGCGCTTTCATACAGAGGAACTCCTTCTCCTGCATTGTTAAAAGCTTTTAGGGAGATTACGTAATGGGAACTTGACTCTGGAGAAAAACAGAAAGAATATGAACATGTTGATTTATTTAGTGTACTGAAATACTCAGGGTAAACATTTTCCTGAAATCAAATTTAATGTAATCTATTAAGTAAATTGTTGTTTAAAAATGAGTGAGTTTGATTCTGGGAAGAAGGTGGCAGTGGTAGAAATATAGTTTTTGATCTTCCTGAATCTCAACCTAAAAAAGACTGAATGACTAGATAGAAAACCAAAAGCATTTGGACGTTTACAACAAAACTAGGTGATAAGGTATATCTTCAAACTCTAAAATGCAAGTGAATATGGACACACCACCAGCAACCTTGACCAATAACCTGCATGTTATCAGCATCTGTAAGAGAATTCAGAGGGAGGCATCAAACTTGAAACTAGGATAATTCTAAAATAATTATCAGATAATGCTAGAAAGTACCGCACACCAGTTTGAGACCAGTAAATATTAAAACTCTAAACTAAATGGCAAAGGCTCCTTTCCAAGACAGGGCTCACACTGGGGACAAACTACTGGGAATAGATTTAAAATTTGAGCAGGACAGAAGCAACAGAAATGAAGGGGAGAGAAAGTCCAGATAAAAGTAGGAGAGAGGAATAGTCGTGAAAACTTAAAGCAAGCTCCCATAGATTTTAGTGTGCGTTGGACAACTTTTCTGTAAAGGGAACCAGATCTTAAATATTTTAGTTTTGCAGACCATTTTGTCTCTGTCATATATTCATCTGGAATCGTTTGTTTGTTTACAACTCTTCAAAAATATAAAAACCATTCTTAGTTCAGTGAGTCCAAACAAAAGCAGGACCTAGGCCAGGTTTGAGCCCCAGGCTACAGTTTGCTGAGCCCTGAACTCTGGTCTAACGAAAACATCAGGAGACGTAGCTCTGTGTACTTAGAAAAGCTCTTTGAACTTCTGGGAATGCAGGGAAACAAACCATATGAAAAAAAGCAACAAAAATCTGTTGAGGTTAAATTCCTCACAAAATAAAATGAGGAGAATATCATTCTTGTAGATAAGTACACACACACAAAAAGGATCAAATATACACAAGAAAAAGATCAACTTGCTGTTTACTATTTCAAAATGAGCTAAATAACATTAAGTGAAACGCCACATAGGCAAGAGTTAGTAACATAAATTAGAACTAGAAAAAACTCAGAAATGAGGTGGCATAACCCAAGAAAGAATTATATGTAAGTAAAAAAAAAAATTTTACAAATAAAGGGTACCTAAATGAACAAATAAACACTACAAGGAGAAAACAAAAACAAAACAAAAAGAAATTAAGAAAGAGTAAAAAAGAATTGAGGAGAAAGTGATAAATATTAGAGAAGGAAGATCTAACATATGAGTAATGGTTTTCCTTAAGGAAGAAAACCAAAGAAAGGGAGCAGAACAAATACTAAAAAATGGAATTCAAGAAATTTTACTGACTTAAAAAAATCTTCTAGGCATCTGGACAGAAAGAATACATGACTTATAAGGGGGAAGATTAGATTACTATCAGACTTTTTGCCAGCAACATTTTATGTCGAAAGAAATTGAAGTAATTTATTTGAGATATTCAAGGTAAGAAAATATGATTCAAGGATTTTATAGCCGACAAAAGTTAACTTTAAATATAAAGGGCACACCCAAACTGTTATCAACTTGCAAGCAATCAGTGAATATTGTTCCCCTGATCCCAAGAACTATTAGAAAATGAACTTTAGACATCCGAAATGACCAGGGGAGATATCAACCTAATAGCTAACTGGTGAACAATAAATTTAAAGAACTAAGATTAAGTGAGGGTTAAAAGAGAGAGATTTTATTTTATAATGGCTACATGTTCTGGTATTATAGACATCTTACAATCATAAAACAAAATTAAGGGAGAAGAGGGATAGTGTATGCAAAAATAAATGTTTTAATAATTATTATTGATGGTAATACTATTATTATTGTTATTGTTATTCTGAGACAAATGTAATATGGGATAAAGCAGGTGAGTAATCATGAGAAAGTCTAATTCTATTGTCCCCATGTCCTTGAGAACCAGATTCTTGGTTTGGATGAAAGGTCATACAGATGTAAAATAGAAGATGTTAAGTAAAGTCTTGTGTTCCTAAAATTCAACTGGAAAAATCACTTTAAACTCAAAAGGTATTTTATTTCTGTTCCAGTTCTGTCCACTGAAAAAGTCTAGAAACATCGACTCAACAACAAGCATCCTCAGCACAAAGGCTGGATTTTGAAAAAATATTTTGCACTGCAAGAGACAAGGGCTTCTTGAAGAACCGGTTAATGCCTGGTCTGGGGTAGGAAACATATCAATTGAGCCTGAAACATCTTGACACAGCAGATAGAAAGGAAACAACCAAAGACTAATAGGACCATGTCAGATGGATTCAGGAATCACCTTGAAGAGGCCCCCAAGACCAAAGATGAGGACAATCTGAGCTTCCATAAAGATAAAAGCTGCAATGAATTGAAACCCAACAAATATATATAAATGCATGAATTAATAAAGATATTTTAAAGAACAATAAGAGTTGGTTACTTCTAAGTTTCACAGAACCAAATTATTATCTTGAAAACTGGGTGAAGAATCTAATATTTATCATGTTTTTCTTAAATAAACCCTATCACTGTGTAATCAAACAGTATATGAGAGAAATCATCTCCTTATAATATTATTCCAACTAACAAATAAAAATCCAATGATAGAATTCAAATATTGCTATTTTGCAGCCCCAATGAACAAATGGATCCAGGCATTAAGCATTCAGGATTGCTAAGATAAAATAAAGACATCTAGACATTATGTACCTCCTAAGGAAAGAACACACTACCCTCTAGAGCCTTGCCAAAGGGATCGAATGTACTTAGTCTGATCAAGCCTCTAGATCCAAAGGCCAGTCTGCAGAAATAGAGCAAAGAAACATGTTCAACTCCAACTTATCATAATTCATTACTCTAGACATTTGTTGCATGTGTTTTTCTGTATCTGAGTTTTATTTTACAATAAAAAAGCTTTGAAAATGAGTGAATTTATCTGATAATATTCTTTGCAAATTGATTAAATGGATTTTTCTTCATGAAATTTTTACATGTCTTAAGTATTAGCATTAAAGATATTGACATTCCAAACCACAATGACACATGTAACAAAATGACAATAAGTATGTTCCCATCAATAGCTACTTTAAACGTCAATGGACTAAATGCTCCAATCAAAAGGCATAGGGTGGCTGACTGGATAAAAAAAACAAGACCCATATATATGCTGTATACAAAAGACACACTTCAAACCTAAAGACACTCACAAACTGAAAGTGAAGGGATGGAAAAATATATTCCATGCAAATGGCAATGAAAAGAAACCTGGGGTAGCAATACTTATATCAGAAAAAAAAGACTTTAAAATAAAAACTAACAAGAGACAAAGAAGGGCACTACATAAAGATAAAGAGAACAATCCAACAAGAGGAAATAACGCTTGTAAATATCTACACACAACATGTAGGTGCACCTAAATATATAAAGCAATTATTAACAGACATAAAAGGAGAAATAGTAACACAAAAATAGTAGGGGACTTTAACGCTCCACTTACACCAATGGATAGATCATCCAAACAGAAGAACAATAAGGAAACACTGGCCGTAAAAGACACATTAGACCAGATGGACTTAGTAGATATATACAGAATTCTCCATCCAAAACTGCAGGATACACATTCTTTTCAAAGGCACATGGAACATTCTCCAGGATTGATCACACATTAGGCCACAAAAAATGTCTCAATAAATTTAAGAAGATTGAAATAATACCATGCATCTTTTCTGACCATAATAGTATGAATCTACTCTGCTATTGAGTCCCTCTAGTGAATTTTTCATTTCCAGTATCGTATCCTTCATTTATAATTGGTTCTTTTTTATATTTTCCAGTTCTTTGTTGAGGTTCTCACTGAGGTCATACATTCTTCTCCCAAGATCAATGAGCATCCTTTTGACTATTAGTTTGTACTCTTTGTCAGGTAGATTGGTTATTTCTGTTTCGCTTAGTCCTTTTTCTGGGGTTTTGTCTTGTTCCCTTACTTGGAACATATTCCTTTATCTCCTCATTTTGCCACTTTCTCTGTGCTTATATCTACGTATTAGGTAGGTCAGCTACATCTCCTGATCTTGGAGAAGTGGCCTTATGTAGGAGATGTCTTATGAGGCCCAGCAGTGTGCTTCCCTCTCATCACCAGTTCCAAATGTTCCGGGAGTGTCCCCTGTTTGGGCTACGTGTGTCCTTCTGTTGTGGAAGGGTTGCTCTTGCTGCAGGTGCCCAGAGAGACTAGACTGTCCCCCTGGCCAGCTGATTTTAATGTTCAGCTGTGTGTAGCTGCTGTGGACCCTTCAGTCACTTTATTAGGCATGGGGAGCCCCAGCACAGTTGGCTGCAAGGTCTACTAGCACATTCCTGCTACAGTTTTCCTTTTAAGTGAGTAGTCCTCCAGTTTGGCTGGTTGCTAGGCTCAAGGGCTTACAATTGCCGTAAGCCTCTAGCCTGCAAGCCTGTTGTCAGCTCCCTCAGGATTGCAGCTGAGTGATGCCGGCCTGAGGCATGGGAGCACCCAATTGTTTCAGGTTTTGGAAGGTGGGGCCGATCCCCTAGGTGACTGTTTGAGAAGCACAAGTCTGCTGCAGCTGATGAGCTCCACTGCCCACAGACCCACACACCCCATCAACACAGTCCTGCTCCATGCACACACCCTGACCCACTGAAGCAGACCCACACACTCCACCAATGCAGGCAACACGAACACCTCAGATATACAAAAGATTATAAGAGAATACTATGAAAAGCTGTATGCCAACAAATTGGGGTAATCTAGAAGAAATGCATAAATTCTTAGAATCATACAGCCTTCCAAAATTGAATCAAGAAGAAATAGGGAATTTGAATAGACCAATCACCAGTAAGGAGATTGAAATAGTAACCAAAAATGTCCTCAAAAATA